CTTTTTTTTTTTTTTTTTTTTTACTATCGAAAAACAGAGGAGATAACTTTCGGACTTCGCGAAACATACGCGCCGCGGTTAAAGAGGATCACCTATATACGCGCGTACTATACATAACAGCCCCGATCACTTCCTCTCGGAGCCTTGTATTTTACAGCATGCTCCTCTCTCTTTTAGCGTACATATACCTTTATACAATGCTCAAGTAAATGTTTCGGCGACAGGCAGAGTCTTGGAAACAGTTTTTTATGTCGATATAGTTGGCACGAAGTTTTATGGCGCTGTACTGTGCGACATGCATGTGTTTAGTGCTTTACGTTACTCTGTTTGGCGTTACCCAAAGTGGATTTCCCTGAGTTGTGTTGAGAGAACACAATATACTATATACATATACGACGACGTTTTCGCGACGACCGAGAGGCCGCCGCTTTTGCATCGTGTTTGTAACCTCCTCGCCGTTCGTCGTCGTGTAAAATGTACACTCAATGAGCGATCATTTATATCCGGGTCTCTCGTGTTTGTTGTTTCTGTCACGGTCGATGGGTTTTTTTTTTTTTTTTTTTTTTTTTCTGTTTTTGAATTTTATCCAGTGCGGCATCGCACGTGTATCACACACGAGATACCGCATACGCATTTGTTTTTTACGAGTTGTTGTCTTTCTCTTCCTTTCGCGATTTTCATTCGATTGAGGTTTTGCCGAAACATTCGAGATATCCTCGCGTTTGGAATAAATTGGTATAAGCTGATTGACATTGCTTATGATTTTTAGTTACGGATTTGTTTGTTCCACACGAGACGAGCTACTTGAAAAATATACCAGTAAAATATTTTCTATACATATACATTTGTAATTTGTCTTTGTTGAGCAACAAAACACTTTGAGGATAACGCATATCGCGCGCTTTCTCGCGTTTTTTTTTTTTTGTAACCGTAAGAGGGAAACGCTTTTTTCTTTTTTCTGAAAGAGTACATTAAACCTTGCGGTGATGGAAGATTCAAAACGTAAATATCTGAGTGTTTTATGAATTTACTCGTTCGCCTGTTAAATTTGTTTGCTTGGTGGTGAATAACAAACTAACAATATTGGTCGCTCTGCAGCTTGTAACAATGTTTATGCTGAGTTGTGTCAACAATCTGGTTCAACTAGTCTTGTGTTATAGCCATTGGATTTTTTTTCTTCTTGTTTTTTTTTTTTTACGGTTCTGTCTATATTATATACATGTGCGAGTGCAACATTTACGGGGCAAAGGGGAAATGTGCATATAGTTAGCGACAGTTAGCACAATGCGATATACAACCGGTCAGTAAAAATTTCGAAACGGAGATACAAAAATTTAAATCACATCGATCTGGCTTATTAATTCTCCGTGAGAGAATCGCGAGATAAAAAAAAAAAAAAAAAAAAAAAAACAAAACAAACAAATTAAATCCAACTCTTTACAAAAATAGCTTATCTATTGCGCCATGCTCTTGATCTTAGGAGCTGTCTTAGATTTTATAGATCATTATATCTGTGTGTCTCGTTTTTCTTGTGTGTGTCATGTCCAAAATTTACAACTCGCCGATGTTTTCGACAATACGTATTAGATAAATAAACATATGTCGATCTTATAGTATGTTATATAGCTGTAATACGCGATAGTCTCGTGCAAGTACGAGTCGTCGACGTTTCCTTTATTTTTTTTTTTGATAATAGAAGAAAAAATTGAATCTATTTTTTTACGTTTTTATTAAATACATATATTTTTTTAAATATTCGTCCGTTGTAGGATGCATTATGCGCATACACGTGTTTTAGCGAAACCAAAGCTTATTTATATGATTTTGTGATCGCGCGTGAGATATCCGCGTGTGAAAAATTAGGATTTTTTCTGAAAAAAAAAAAAATCTCTCCAAGCTGAAACGCCTCGAGGCTCGATGGCTCCATGTAACGTTGTTGTCTTACAGGGAAGAGGAGCTCGCCACTAACTCTAGCAGGGAGACCGTCCTATCTGACGCCACCACTGCCAACCATACCCACGCTACCGATAGACTATAAATCTGAGCAATGAGAGCATTCTAATCAGCAATCGATTTGGATATATAGTATTATTCGTTTTCGAAAAAGAAAAGACTAAGATATATATTGATAGTTTACACACAGACGACTCTTGGCGTTTCTCTAGCCGGGGGGACGGGAAGGGGAAAGAACTATTATCGATCACACTGTTATATCGGACGAGAGTTCTAGTGCACTTGATTATAGCGCGAAAGTCTGTTAATCGATAAAAATTCGCACTGTGTGTTAATTCGCACCGTACACTACAAGATTCGAAAAGACTCGAAGACTTTTAGCGCATTATTAGTATTATTATGATTATATATATATATATATTATGATTATATATATATATATATATGTATATTATATATACATGATATTTACGAATATTTCGGCATCACCGGACAAAACTATAACGTTTCATGTTGTAAAATAAAAAATCTGTTTGTTTATTTAATTACTCGGATTGAGTTTCTTTCTTTCCACTTTCGCGTTTGCGCAAGCGTGTGCCTTATATGCGGAAAAAACGACCGAGTTCGAGACTTCGATTTCTCGCGCGCAACACTTTTCGCGACGCGCGAGAAGTCGTCATCCTCTCCGCGCCGAACTCTACTTAACTTTACGTGTGTGTGTCGTAATTTTTGTTTTTTCTTTCTTTTTTTTTTTTTGGTTTTTTGGTTTTGTGCGTCGGATCTTTTTCTCTCTCGCGAATAAATGTTTTTTTTTTTTCGTTTCGTTAAAAACCTCTCGCGTTTTCTTGGAAATTTGTCTCTCTCTCGAGACGAATTTGTTTTCACCCTAGACGTGCCACAAGCTGCCGCATAAAAAGTATTTTTGATTCTCATATTATAGTAAGTATGTGTATACAACCTCTTTGTTCATCGTCACTCGTGAATTCTACTACACAGGCCAGTGAAAAAAAAAAAAAACAAACAAACGCTGCAATAGTACAAGATTAGAAACTGTGAAATGAATCATTTTATACATACACATATTTATATAATTGTCATCAAGTGTGATACACACCGCACGAAGTAGAGAATTATCGCGACGTTCGTGGATTCGCGATGGATGCGCGGGATTCGTGAAAAATTTACGTTACCCGATTTCTTGGGTTTTCGCGAATTTCCGTTCTCTCGAAATCGCGAATCCACCAGATCTCTGTGGACAATCGATCGACGATTGACATAAACGTGGGAAGAGGCGAGTCGAGTACTATATAACTTGATTTGCGTGTTACATACACACGTAACAAGTGAAACAATTTTAGGAAAAAAATAAAAGCAAATTCGAGTAACCAGCTAGAACCATCCATACGCGATGTCACGGTAAAATTGTGAGAAGTGCTCACATTCAATAGAGATGTATATATCACATCTCTCGTTATTTCCTCGCATTTTGTTCCGTCACATTGTTATCTGCGTAGACTCGGGCGCAATATATGCATATCTCAGCATAAGGACGAGTGTATTCCGCATTTCCTTTCGTAAATTCGCATTCTTGAGTTTTCCATTTTTGCATCTTTTTCTGCAAGCTGCGTCTTTTTCCCGCATTTGACATCACATCATTCATTATTAAAAAAAAAAAAAAAGTCATGTAAATATTCTTCCCGCATAACAATAACGTTCGACAATTCGTTTTACGAATTTATTTGCGCAAATAACGGTGTAGCTGGCTCCAAGAGAGGGCTCGTCGTCGGAGATCCAAAAAGAAAAACGATTTTCTCAAATTAGGAACACACACACGTTTAAACTTGTGGTGCGCATTTTTATATATATTTCTATATATTTCTATATATACATATATATATATTGTGTAAAAAAAAAACGCCGCAAAACACGGTGCATGTCGAAGTCGGTGCGACGGAAGAGGATTTGTGTAATGAGAAAAAAAAAAAAAAAAAAAAAAAAAAAAAAAGA